TCTCACCCCTATGGGTGGTCTGTATCTTCCTCAATCTCGGGTCCTCTTCCAGAGACCTGGGAGTGTGAGGGTTCTGTGCAGTATCTGAGCTGTTCCTAGCACTGCCCTCTTCTGGACAGAGAGCTCTGATGTTGTCCTTGGGATCTGTTGGAGCCATTCTCCCAGGTCGGAGTCACAGCCGCGAGTGCTCCTACCACCAGGGAGATCACTTTGGCCTTTACTTTCCACATCCTCTCTAGTTCCTCTTTCAGCCCCTGGTACAGAAAGAGCAAAGATGATATGTGTGTGTGTGTGTGCGCGCATGTGTGTGTGTGCTAGGAACAGCAAAGATACTGTGCAGAACCCTCAAACTCCCTCTGGTAAGAGGACCTGAGATTGAGGAAGACACAGACCACCCATAGGGGTGAGAGGGGATTTTTTTTTTAAAATAGATTTAGCAAGTCAGATGTGTTGGTGAAAAGGATGAACATTTGTGCATGCAGCTTACAGGAATATGTTTTTCAAAGAACTTATTAAATTTCAATAAAGACTAAAAAGAAAGTAGAGAAAAAGAAGAGAATAGAAAAAAGAAAAAGATCAGAAAAAGGATACAAAAGAGAAAAAGTGAGAAGAAAAAAAAGAGGTAACTTCCGACTTTCTTTGGTTCAAGCACCAATATACATTCGCCTCTTACTCTAATGTTTAAAATAATACAGAATAAGGCTATAACAATCAAAGATATAAGGAGAACTAATACAGAATATTTCTATAATTATAAAAAGTATCAGTCATCAAACCCGTCAGCTTACGTCAGTGTTGTCCAAACTTGGCCACTTTAAGATGAGTGGACTTCAACTCCCAGAATTCCCCAGCCAGCATTGGACAACACTGGCTTACGTGAATATCGATGCCAATCCAATCCTAAATTACCCTGCTCATCTGTGTCAATGTAACTGGCCAAGAATGCTTTTAATCTGGAATTGTGATGTTCTTCCCTCTCTCATTCTCAGTGAAAATCCAGAATGGGAATAGATAACTAGAGGTGAACAGAATTTATTCAGACCTATTATGGCTAAACTGAAGCTTGTTATCAATTGAAATCAAACATCTAACTTGAGTTGGAAGAACTGAATCCATAGGACCGAGTAAGATTATTGAAAATAAATCTATAATTCAATGTGATAAACTGTTCTATTCTGCTGTTGCTACTGTATTTAGATTTATATATTTATTATAATAGAAGTATAGGTTTAATAATAGAAAGTATTCCATCAGCCTAATATAAAATGCCTCTATATAGCTGCTTTATGAACAATGTGGAAAAATCAGAAAGGGAACTCAATTACCCTTCATTTACCTTGTTATAATGTAGGCTATGAATTCCAGCACAGAAAGGAAAAGGGGAAAAAACAGCAAGAAAAATCAGGCATACTAAGAATCAGATACAGTCACGGTAACCAAAATTGTGTAACTTTGAAGATTAAATGCACAAAACAATGTGATAACATCTGAAAGTTTAAGCTAAACTATGTCCATCTTGCATCTCATCAGCTCTGCAGTTCTAGAAACTCATAAAGTCTTGGGTCAACATGAGATCTACAGCTTAAGGGAGGCATGAAGGACACAAATGTTTAGAGCAGTGGTGAAGAAGATAATGCAACAAGTGTGATATCCAGAGCGTCATATAGGCAGATTAATTTGTGTTTCAGTGGTCACTCTACAGTGTCTGCTGCCAAGCTCACAATTTAATCCCAAGGTGTCAGCCTCTAAGAGCCAGTAAAATATTTACACACACACACACACACTCATGGAGCTGAGAAGGGGAGGAAGCAGCTGAGTCCAATCTAACTAAGTCTTTCCCCCCACCCCATCATCAAACATCTCAAGCAACTGAGGTTTCCAGCCAAGCAGTCTGAATTCCTGCTGCAGCTCCCTAGAGGTGTTATGAACTTTGTTCTGCCAAATGATAAATGAACAAATAGGACCATTTATTATGAATTACAACATCACCCCCGCCTCTGTCACTCTCTGGCCCAGGCCTTGCTTTCCTCCCCATTTGTTTAAGAAATTGTGAGTTTTTCGCTGAATAATTGATAGTGCTGCTTCTACACATCGAAGAAAGATGCTCCAGTGGCAATGTAGTCACTGATAGCTGACTATCCCATTACTTACTGCCATCGCCGCCCCACAATTCTTGGCAAGTTGGCCCAGTGATAACATCCACCCTGTTTGCATCATAGTGCAGTCCTTGAAATGAATAAAAGGAGCTCTTTTCGGTGCTGTTTTGGAGAAAAAGAGTGCAGACTGGAGGAAAAGAAATGCAAAAATACAGTCTTCGCATGTTCAGGTTCAATCCTTCTCCCTTCCCCCAAGTTGAGATGAAATGATCAAAGTAAAGGTTTGAAAAGTTACCAATCTCAGTCTGTATGCATTGTATGATGAAATAGGTATTATTTACAAACTCAAGGAACAATAGTGATGATAATCTGATATGAGGTCTAATGGAAGGTGTAAATTAAAAAGCCATATGCTTTGGAGCTTTTAATGCTCCAAAGAACACATAATTTTGTTCAAATTTCTCTCTCTCTCCATCTCTAGTAGTGCATTCCTGTACTGAGGTAATACCAGCTGTAGGAATCCTCTTGAATTTTATACAGTTCCAATCATTCTTAAAATTTGCAGCTAATAACAGGTTGATAGAATGATAGAAATCAGGGGAATAGTGAAGAGGAAGAGTGTACTAATCTCTTCTCAAGACTGTAGCCCTAATCCAAATCATTTCTGCTGGTGCAGTTGCTTTCAGACAGAGAAAAAAAAATCATAGATCCAAGAGATTAATCACATGTGGATAAGCTATTAGTGATACACTGCTGGAAATGAAGAATCAAATCAGTGAAGAAGCATAATGACCAAATTGATTAGCTAAAAAGCAGTGATTCTGATTGTTTTCCTATGGCTTTGGTAAAATATTCTTAAATGTTTAGGGCATAAATTTATAATCTACATTTCTTCTGCTCTATACATATATGAAGCCCTGTTGTGACATTGCCAATAGGCGTGGATGAGTCAACTTGTTTTGCCCTAAGACCCTTGAAGAGGATTCAGTAAATCATATGGTAGCATGTAGTAAGGATTCTGGAAGTCACAATGTGCAGACTTAAGGGCTCCTATATTTATCATCTCTCTTATAGTGAATATTTTATCTGTCTCAGGGAATGGCTTAAGACATTCACTATCCTTTACCCAAGATATAAACATGCTGGTTTCTCATTCCATAGACAGAAGTCAGTTGGACTATCAGTGAATAATCTGTGATAGTCTTATGACTTCTGCTATATCTGTTTAGGGGCTCAGGACAGGGGAAGTAGCATATATACATCTGTCATCCAACAGAGCGGAACATCCTAGGAGATCAACAGGAGCCATTGAGAGGCCACCATTCCTGTCTCCCAACATTGGCTGTCTTAGGCAGTTGTTTCATTCAGTCTCACAGTATGGCCAGTCCTGATCTAGACCAATCTTAGGTATGCTTATTTGGAACAGGAACAGCTCCAGGTCTGAAGGGACTCCTAGTCCTATGGTGAGTTCATCCTATGCCATGGACCTCGCAGTCTGTGGGCTTACCAGATGGCAGGAAAGGCAAAAAGCAGTAGCATCCATACAGAATTACCTCAAAACATTTCCCTAATATAGGTTGGGACCACACAACAGACTAAGCCAAAAATAGTTTGCTTATTTATGAAGTAGTGTGAATTGATTATTTGCAGGCCTTAAGATACCCATTTTGCCTTTAACTCACCAAACCCTTTCCAAATAAAGAAGAATGTGAATTTTTTATCCCCATGCTGGGGATTCTGGGCTCCACATACAGCCTGTGGACCATAGATCCAACTTTATGTTTGTGAACCGAACTAATTGCAATTTATCCAGTCAACCATGGATAAGCAAAGCATAGCTACATGAACACTGCAACTGTGTCATAATGTCAGCTCCTAAAGCTCTATCTTAGGCCATCAGAAATGCAATACCTTGCTGGGAGTATTATGAAGAATGTAAACGCGGTTCCCAGATACAGTTGCTCAGCATCCATTGGATTGAATGCTGCTAAAGTGTTGTCCAGGTTAGGCTTTAGTAGTGAATCTTGCTCACTCAGTCGTATCATACACTTATACCCAAGTATATAGGCAAGGAATTGAAGTCTTAGACACACTGAAGGGCAAAACAGTTGCAGTTTATTGTATTTCTAGGCCATTGTTAATTTATACATTTATTTTCTTTGCCATCCTTCATGCAAATAGAATTACTCTGACAAGCAGAGCCAAGGTCATGAGAGAGCAGAAAAGGCAGACTGTAGACCAATCGCAAGCAATTGCTAATAGCCAAACTGATGATCTGGTTTACATGATTATATTAGCATGACATTTGGAAGGGTTTTTTTTTTAACCCATTCAATTTTAGGTAAATAGAATTGCAAATAAAAAACCTTTTATGAAAAAAAGAATAAAAATTTAATCAGGGTCAGATTTTTTGCTCTTTGGTTAGCTTTAATTTTATCATCCAAATATAATGGGATCTACGTGGGTTAGGTTTTTCTTTCAGAAATGCCATTCAGCTGTGCATGAAAACCACAGACCTATCATTTTACTGTGTACAAGGATTGCAGAAATTTAGAGCTTAGTTTGAAATGCTGGATTTGATATGTCATTATAAACTAAAGTATTTAAATGTCATCTTTTTCAATCTTATGCTTGTTTCTCTTTCTACAGACAAAGTTACAAGCATAATACTGTCAACCCAGGGCCTAAATAAATACGAATAATAGACATGGGTTTGCTTGATCAAGCCAACAGCACCATCATCTTGGAAGAGCATATCTTAGAGAAGAAATCACCATCTGGCTGGCATGCAGACAGCCTTGTCACCCCTAGTCAGGGATTCCAAGGAAGATCCAGTGAAGTTATGATGGATAGCACCAAGATCTTGGGGGTCCAGATCATACTGATAATGGCCTATTCTCTCATCATTCTTCTGGGATTCATTGGTAACTCCTTGGTCATCTACATGATAGTGAAATATAAAACCATGAGGACTGTAACCAACTTTTTCATAGCTAACTTGGCTCTGGCAGACCTAATGGTGGATACTTGCTTGCCCTTTACTTTGGCTTACACTCTGCTAGATGAGTGGAAGTTTGGGGCTGTACTTTGTCATTTGGTGTCCTCTGCTCAAGCTTTAAGTGTTCATGTATCTATTCTCACATTAACCGTGATCGCTCTGGATAGGTACAGATGTATTGTTTTTCATTTAGACAGTAGAATATCCAAGAAGATCAGCTTCACCATCATAGCTACTACATGGCTGGTTGCTGCTGTCCTAGCTAGTCCACTGGCTATCTTCCGAGAATACAGATATGAAGAAATTCCATCCATCAATCTCAGAATAGCTGTCTGCTCAGAGAAATGGCCTTCTGAAAACAGAGATGCCACTATATACAGCTTATCCATGCTTATCCTGCAATATGTTTTCCCTCTTTCTATCATCTGTTATGCCTACATCAGGATATGGTTCAAACTGAGAAGCCACATTAGCCCTTCTTCTAGAAATGACACTCACTGTCGCAGGAAAAAGACCACTAAGATGCTTTTCATGGTCGTTGTGGTGTTTGCAGTCTCTTGGCTACCCTTCCATGCTTTTCAACTTGCTGCGGACCTAGATCTGGCTCTTGCCCTCCGTGACTATAAACTCCTTTATACAGTATTTCATGTAATAGCCATGTGTTCCACTTTTGCAAACCCTTTGCTCTATGGCTGGATGAATAAGAACTACCGCAATGGATTCCTTATGTTCTTCCACTGCCAGAAAAAGCCAGAGAGACTGTACACAGAGGGATCGATTCGAGGGCGGTCCTGCACTTTCAAGGCTACTACTCTGAATGGGAGCATCAAGCAGTCAGCAGGAGATGGACAGCTACCAACACAGGTTTAGTACATGGCAGCTTCATCTCCACATGGTGGCCAGAACCTCAGTGTTGCCCACCTAAAACTGTTGCCTTTTCTGAAAATAAAAATGTGTTGAATTGCCAAAGTGCTGTCACTGTCACAGTTAGATGAGAGCACCTTATCTATCTGTCAAACAAACCTTGTGTATGATCCATTCTACTTTCCCAAGTAAGTTAAATAATCCTTGCATCTAATTTGTGTTTCCTGTTCCAAGGAGCAGAAACCATGTCGTACAAGCATGCTTTAATTTATGAGAATTTAGTTCTACTGTTACATGAAGGAGATGAGAAATAGCAGACAGGATTATTTAACTGCTTTAGGCACTCAGGGAATGAAGGTGTTTGCATCAATATCAACAAACTACAGGATCCAATGACACTCATTAAAGACATGGTGTTTCTTTTAATTTCTATTTTCTGTAGATTTTTTGCACTCCTCATACTAAAGCTATACTCTATCATTCCTTGGTCAGAATTCTGGGTACTAAATTATTATGGTTATAGGTCCACAAAAGAACTGGAAGGAAAAAGATGTGTAACACATGGATTCCGTGGAAAGTTTGTTTCAAAATAGCTAATATTAAGTTCTTAAATTATTAAAAAGTGCAAAATTCACTTCTTGGTGTCCAGCAGAAAAGTTTGATCCTGAATGTTAGGTTTTCAGGCTAATAGCAGCTGCTGATAGTGACATCCACACTGCATTCCACAATCACTTTCTGGATTTCACTCACTGGGTAAAAGTCACGGTTAAAATCTTGTTCCTTAATAAGTAAATATTTATTTTGGGGGTTGAAATTCCTGCTCTTCTTCATTATCATGAGTATTATTTCATATTATGAGGTTGCTTTACTACCTTTTCTGCTTGGAGGAATGTAAGGTGTCATTCATACTCTTCATTTTTGATAAGTGTTTTATTGCAAAGAAACATGTGGTATAATCTTTATACCCACTGGGTGAATTAAGACAAGGACAACTTCCACCTTCTTGACCAATTGAGATTCTACATATATAGAAGAAAAGGTTTCCCCTTTCCTAACTTCTCAGTTCTTCCGGTGTTCAAAGTAATGATCAGGATCACTACAGGAGGAAGGGTAGGCAACTGCAAAGAGCAACCATGAGCATTGCTGCAGTCAGCAAAGTGGTCTAATTGAAAATTATGTAATTTATTGCCAACATGTTGTACAAGGCACATGGTCTCGGTTCTGCCACAGTTCCAGGTGATCTTTATCCAGAATTGTTCAGAAATGCTCTGGAATATTGATATCTCTGAGAATGGTGTTTGCTCTGGGTCCTTGTGTGTAAATGAAATCCTCATTAGCTAAGGGAAAGGAACAAGGCCAAAAGGATTAAAATGTGAGTTCATGTGTAATGGATAATTATGTCATCAGGATGCCCAGTGAAATAACCATAATGAATTGCTGCCAATGTATATTAAAGATCTATCTGGAAGCAGCCTTGGAGTCTTTTCTTTCTTGGATCATGAAAATTACTCTATCTGTAACTATCTAGACACATTATTTTGTCTTTTAACAGATAAAATACTAAAAAATTCATCATAACTTCTACAGTCATTTCCCTTTTCGAACAGAGAGAAAGAGAGATGCAAATGCTCCAAAATATACTGTGAAATAACATTTCATAAATATGTTTTCTTTATGGAGAAGGTAATGGTCCACATGGAAATGAAATATATCCACTTATGCTAATCTGGATACTTCTCTTAAAATATAGAGGAACAATCTGCTGGAAATGTTGCCTTTCAAAGTTTCCAATTCTTGAAAGGCAATTAATAGAGCCACACTTCATGTTGGTTTAAACCCATTATTTGTGGAGGGTGCTTGTAAATTTTATTGGCTGTTGTTTGTAAATTTTAGCAGCTGCTGGGAAGGGATCAAGAGAATAAAAATCATGATTGTGTGGTATGTGAAGGGCAGATAAACCTTTTTGCTTCTGGGAATGATCCTTTCGTCTCCATAATGTAATTGTGCTTTTAATATAATACATAGTTTGGCCTATAACTTAACACTGAGATATGCGAAGTCAAGCTGTTTTGAACATAGCCTTTTGTTGTTATTGCTCTGATATTATTCACTCACTTGCTTTATTTTTTCCACCAAACTACTGCACTCCAGGGTTTTCTCAATTCTTAATCTAGCTTTTTAAAGTAATAAGTAGTATATAAAACAACACCTCCTACAGAGTTGTTGATGGCAACTCTGACTGGTTTACATAACATGTTAAGCCATGTCTTACTTAATCATGGTTTGTTGAATAAGCCCAAATTGATTGAGTTCAAAGAACATGCTAATCTTTAAACCATGTTTTGGGTTCATGTGTCCTAACTCAAAACCTAACAAATCAAATTATGGCATTGTGCAGTATGTACACTTCAGTGATTTTCTCCCTTTTGGTTAATAACTAAATAGTAAAAGATTCACAAAAGTATTTCTTCATATGCCACCTTGTTCAACTTTAGAATTTATTTCCAAATAATGTAGCAATGGCTGTTCACATTGGTTTTCAAAGCAATTGGATAAATTCATCGGTACTGATATTTATCAGTGCTTGCTGTTCATGAATGCTGTCTGTATGACCTGTTATAGGAATACTATAAAAGAAATAGGAGGCCTCTAAATATGAGTAATTGAGGAAAAATTGGCTCCAATGTTATTTACTTTCCAGGAACAGCTGAAGATGGAGCTTCCTGGAGTGTGTTTAGGTGTTGACACTAGGTATTGTTTGGGGTCTGTAGGCAGTAGGTCTTTTATCACTGGTATTTATGTTATTATCTTTTTGTTAGCCCCTGACAGTCTATTTATGATTGCAGTGGGATATGAATTTGGCTAATGAATAAATAAACTTAAAAAAATTAGTGGAAAATGCTCTTGCACTCACAGCCTGCTTGTGCTTATAGTTTTTCACAGACTTCTCATACAATCGGTCCCTAGGTGGTGAAGGAAACAGGATATCGGACTTTTGGACTGATTAGGCACAAGTTAAGCCTTGACCTGTAGGCAGCAGCAGAACATGGTGACACTGTGACACAGATCCCCCTTTGCATACTTGCATCCTGATATCTGAGGCAGGTGTGTAAGTTGTAGTATATGTGTCATGGTGCAGATTTCCTCCTTTGCCACCTCTGTGGAGGCCCATGCTTGTAGGAGTGGTGGTAGCTTCAAACAAGCTGCCCACTATTTTCCACGTATGTGAACTGACTGCAGATCTACCATATCTCAAAAGGAACACCATTTAAAAAGGGTTCAGTTGCAGACCATCTGGGGTTGTTGGAAGGTGATTCTTTTTTCTGGAAGTAGTTTTTCTTCCACATTGTGGTTTCCCACAAGTACAGTTGAGTGGCCTCTGCAGAGGCAAGAAGAGAAAAAGATGGTGTGAGAGAACTCCACCAAAGTCTTGCCTTCCATAACTAAGAAAATGGGCTAGGGTGTGAATATTTGTTTTTGTGCATATTATGAGTGGAAGAGCACTTTCTACTCATTTCCCCCAGTTACTAGTATTTAGAGGCATACTATCTCTGATCCGGCAAATAAGATTTGTGCCCATGTAGGCAGCAGGAAAAAAAGTAAAGAGAATAGTGCTGTGTTCATTTGCTTTAACAGAGGAATCCTGGGGAATCTTTCTTCTCTGTGATCGTAGCTGGGAGAGGGTTCCCTTGAAAAAAGACAAAATAGCACCAGCTTTACAATTTCTGTTGCAAAAGAGAATGAGAGAGCAAGAGTGATCAGAGAAAAGAAGGTGATAGTGAAGTTTCTCAACACAGCTATTTCTTGGCATGACATTACAGAGATTCAATACATTCAAGATCTTTGCATTCCACATCATAATAGGGAAGCAAGGTATGTCAACATACACATCTACACCCTTTAGGAATGAATCTGTTTTGCCCTTGAATTTGTCATGAATCTGTTGTACCACCACCACAAATTCAAACTGTTACTGCATATGGAAGTATGCTGCGACACTTTTCACAAGTCTACATTTCCAAGACAACATGGAAGTTGAAAGTATCAGAGGGTGTGCTAAGCAAACTCAAGACCAGTTTGGCAGAAGAGATTGTAGAAGGAGAAGGAAACTCTGGACAGGCTTCTCTTTCTCCACTCCTGGCCATTAACTGCAGCATTGTGGAAAGAATATTGGAATTTGCCCAGGTAAGCAGAGCACTCCCATCCAGATGTTATAACTCAACATCCTCATTTGGCCTTCACCCACTCAACGTACCTGAATATGGTTTGGAGGTTCTTTTCTTTATTTCCTAAGAACCTTCACATTCAAAAAAGACCCAAATAAAATGACTCATTAGTTTAGATGTACAGGTCTGGTCTTAAATGCAGGACTTTTCTCAGAAATAGTGTGTGTTAGCAGAATAGTCTGATTGGAATGGGATCCTTATGTGTTCCCAATCCCAATCTGTAATTTGCATTCTGAGGGAAAAATCTATCACTTTCATTAGCTCAGGAGAAGAAACCTTGAAGCCCCAGAGATGGATGCGGCCCTCCAAGTTAGATAACGCTAGCTGAAAATCTGTGGTCCCATTTCCTGCTATTTTGAGGTAAGGAAGCACATGGAGACTATGGTATATAAGAAAAAACCCTTTAAAATAAAACGGGTTTAAAAAAATTAAAACAACACCCCCCAAACAAGGAAAAAGGTATTGACTGATTGCTTTGCCCTATCAAAACTGCCTATTATGGCCTTTGCCCTCTTTCAGAAAATGTTAAGCGTTGTATCCCCAGCTCTCAAAAGGTTGTCCGTCTCTATTCAAGTTAATAAAAATAAAATGGCATGCCCAGAAATCCAGTGCACATCAGAAGTGCCTGCTTCTCCCTCCTAAGCTACTGATTTTGATCAGCAGCCGACACTGGTAATTTACAAAAGGAAACAACTTTCTGCTCATAGTGGGAAATTCCCATCATCTCCTATTTCAGGCACTTAATACTACATGTTAGATCTCTGGTGCAACAAGACTAAG